AATATTTCAGTTGGAAGGGACTTAGAACAATCAATTAGGTAAGGAATGAAAAACAGGAAAGAAAGCTCTTGGTTTGCAAAATGTAGCAAGACCACAACTCATCTTTTCAGTGCCAGAAGAAATAAGCCAGTGTGTTCTGTTGTTATAGGAAGATTCTAACTATACATTATCTGCAGACTTAACTATAAACTGGCATACAAATGCCTGCAAATCTCCTTGTAATTAATGGCTGATTAGCATGAAAAAATTCCTACAGAATATATAGCTTTAGATTGGTCTGTTAAATGATTCATAGAATATGGAAAATGCATACTTTGAGAGCTTTTTTTGGGTTGTTCTGTGAAAGCATTCTTTTAACTTGCTGTTTCAGGAGAGTAAATTCAAATGTTCAGAGGAAAGCAGCAGTATTTCTAAACTGTTTTAGAATGCATATACCAGCTAATAGGAGCGATAACAATTTAACTGACTTGCACTGATGAATGTGAACATTATATACCAAATCTTATGTTCGCTGTATCAACATCTCTAACTTAAGTCTTCTGTCTTGTCTTCGTAGGATATGCAACAAAAGCCCACATCCTTGGTTGCACTGAGAACTTTGAAAACCTGAAACTACTTCCTTTGTAGTTATTCTCTTAATTATTCAGTTTTAAGTTGCTGGCTTTTTTCTTTTTAATATTTTGTAGAAAATGCCTTCTTTTGTCAGAATGCATGCCTTGTTTATTGAAGTTATAGAAATTTGTTACATAACATTTAATGATGGGAAGAACAACATGTGTAATGTAAACTTCAAGAATATATGTGCTTGTGCTATAACCGCTAAAATACCATTATAATAGGGGCTAAAAATAACTGTGTATTTTGTTACTACTACTTTACTTGGTGTTTTTAAAAACTGCTGTTGATAACCTTGTAATAAAATAAGACTAACTGGCCACTTGTGTTCAGTTAGATAAGGCCTTATCTACTCAAGTGACTTTTGTTCCTGTGACCATTCAGAATGTAGAGCTAAAAATTATTAAAGGAGGGTGGTACATTAGTTTCTGGCTTACATATTCTTAACAGCAGTATTACAGTTGCAAAACCTTTCTGGTGATGTGGCAGTCACTGTAGCGATAACTCAAAATTTCATCTTTGAAGCTAAATTTGCAATGCTGAAAGAGTATAAATATTCTCATATTTAATGTAGATAATAAACCTGGGTCCTGGGAAGCAGAAAAGCTCGTCTTGTTATGTACAAACAAAACAAAAAAGCCTCAGACTTGCAATTTAAAATCTGAAGCTGAGACTTCTACTGAAATAGTGAAGTGAAAAGTAACTGGCAGTCCTTGCAGGTGTTAGGGACTCATAAAGGTCAGGGGTAGTTCCTATTTTGTAATTACAGTAAAAATTGCCACAACTGTACTGGAGCATTGCCCTTGTTCCTTAGTGGGACAGAGCAGATCTTGCTCTCTATCTGTCTCTAGGCCCTCAAGAAGGATTTTCACAATCAGAGTTTATTCCTAAATGGATGGCTGCAACCTAACAGATCTCATTTAATTTCATTTTCTAACTTCAGAGGAATTAAGTTCTGTACAGCCTACTTAATTTTTGGAGCTCTAGCCATAGTCATGTAGCCTTGTTACAAATGTGAAACATATGTGTTGTTAGGAAGAACTACCCATTCTTTTAGTAAGGGGCAGTTATCAGAAACTGTAGACCTCCAGAAATACTTCTGCTGGGATACATCACATGATGTTGTCTTTGCCATCATTGAACCTTCACAGCTATTGTAAATAGCCTAAGCACTTATAGCTCTTGACAAAAGACTATTCCTACATATTATCCTAAATGATTCCTAGTATTATGAGATTGCCAGTGTCACTGCTTTATTTATTTATTTCTTTAAATGAGAACAAAGTGAATTCAGCCCCCTGCTCTTGAACTACTACAGTTCTTTTGTTCTTGATTTCTTTGCTACAGCTGTGCACTAGAGACATTGTTGAAGCATACAATGTTTAGCATATGCAATTAGTTCTAAAGCCCCTTCCTGCATGGTTTCCTTCCTGCTGTGTTTTTTTTAAAAAATAAAATTAAGTCAGAATGTAGTGTCATAGAAAGGGTGGGGAGAAAGAAGAGTCCTTACATCTTCAGCCCATGCCCAGGGATGATGCAAGACAGATTAGGATCAGTTTACATATTTTAAAAAAAACACCACACACAACAGCATAATACACACTGGAGCCTTCTTACTCAAAACTAGTTTTATTTTTAAAAATATGTTGAATGCATAGCACTCACAAAGATTCCATTGTTTTGGACATTTTCTATTTAGGAGCACCATTCTTATTTATGCCATAAACACATTTTGGTTCTAATAGTAAGAACAGTGTATTTTTAATGTACACTGGTAAAGCCCTTTTAAATAATATATTGAAACTCTTCAGTGTACATTTTTTCTGTAGTCATTATGCAGCTGTAGTGTCAGAAAAAAGTCAGACTAAGTAATAAATTAAAAACAAACAGCATGTAGTGGGATCTTTTTTACAGTTGACCTAATGTCTTAAAATAGTAAAATAAAAAATACCCTATTAAATGTAAATTTGCAGTATTAACTAACTGAATAACCCCCCGCCCATTACAATTCCAGTGTTAAGTATTAGTTTAATTTTTATATACCAAATGTCTATGGGATAAATTTACTAATACCCCCAACAATAAGAGCCTATACTGCTGTTCCACAAATAGAGATGACAAGTTAGCTGATTTAAAGATTTTACAGAAAAAATATTGCTACAGGCATCTGCTGTTATTTCAAGTCATGGTCTATTACAAGACTGTACATTCATAGCATCAGAGGTAGTCAGAGCACTGAGGACTTGGATATAGCATTGCAACAAAATGAACCAGCAGAAAGAAGTTTGTTTCCCTCTTAAATGGGTAACAATGCTGAATAAAAAGCATGGTATCTTATGAGGTGGTAAGTCTCAACACTACTCTCAGACATAAGGAAATACTCTTTAAGAGATGAAGGGAGGAGAGGGGGGAAAAAAAAGCAAAACTAAATAAACTTGCACTTTAGTTAAGAATTGACCATATGATGCCCTTTCAAAGTCGATTCTCTAGTATAAAACAGAGAGGGTCATCTCTTTTATCCACCCTCCTATCCCTCTTGACTTACACACATGCTACAAAAGCCCACAACAAAAACTGGGATTTATGAAAAAAAAACACAGAAGAACCCCCACAAAATAAAACAAGAGAAACAGGATTTCTTCTCCTCAACAGTAACTAGGTTTTTGTAGCATGTTATTATTCAGCGTCAGGAAAAATGAACAGAGCTGTCCTCCCTTCATTCTGAACATTATGGTAAGGCCCCCTCTCATGTGATAAAGCCTTCATCTTAATATTGATAATGTATCTTAATTGCCCCTGCTTTCAAAACAGTCTCTGTTAAATTCACAATATTCAGTATCATTAGATGGTACACAATTTTAAATGCTGCCACTAAGACAGGGGAGAACGTGGTGGTAAAATAACAAATAAAACGAAGTCCACATACTATGAAGATATTTTAAAGAAGTAAGAATCCTGTCATCCATACCTCTCTCATGGTAGAATATGGGAGGAAGAAAGTAGGTATCTTCTTGTACTTAAAAAAAAAAAATAAATCCACCAATAACATCTCTACCGCCATTTTCATCCAAGAGTTGGATGAGTGAAGCTTTCTACCCTCAGACTATCCACTCTACAGGAAATAGTGTAATTCCATAAAGTTATGTGAGTAGCACCTTAACTGTGATAAAGCAGTTCACTCTGCAATATATTTTTGATCCACCCGTTTAGAAGAGTAAATCTCTGCATTTTCTTTAGAGCTCCTAAATCATAGAAGAAAAAGTTGCCCCACTATTACCTGAGAATCGCCCTCCGCTATGAGCCTGACAGAACAGGATGTCTACAGGAATTGAACTGTACTTTTATTGTATAAGTGATACTGTCAGTACAATTGGAGGATGCTTTCTGTTCGTTGATAATACGTGTGAGTTTGTGTGTACACAGAGGAATCGGAGCCACTGTAGTAGTTCTGGTACAGTACAAGTTCAGCTGAAACTTTCTCTTTTCTTCAATTACTCGATACCCCACCCACTGCTGGGCAGTAGTTCACATCTAAGTTCTGTGAACACAAACATATCCCTTTGGTACTCTGCATATGGATGCCCTGAAGAAAAGCCACTTGACCTGCTATAGTCTTTTCCCTCTCTATCTTCCTCCTTCAAGTTATCCCCAATTAAGTGTACTAACCAGCAGCACCGAGTACTGAGCAGAAAATTCCCTGAGTTAGTATGAAAAAGTTACTTTAAACATAAAAAGGACAGGGAGAAGAAAAGAAGCAAAAACAGTGTCTATCCTGTAGGGTACAAAGCTTAAACACTAGCCAGAATACCAGTTAACTCAAATGCCTCAGCCTAAAGCAAATATCCAACACAAGTGCTGAAAGGGGGGCAAAAGTACGGAGTTAGCCAGAGGAGATCTGTTTATTCCCATGGTCCCAATGTGTCTGGAGAAGTCTGGCATTCAACAGATTCTTAAGTTTCAGTAAATTTAAAGTAAGTGTTAATACTGTATGGTGGCATTACATAAATGTCTTCAAAATAATACTGCATATCTCCTTCATTAAAAGTCTATAGTTAGTCCACAGCTATTTTTCTTTATACTAGTATTTCAAAGATGTGTGTTAGAAGCACAGAGTATTCTGAGTGCCAGAGTAAGAACTTACTGCCCCCAGGTATACACATTCTTTTTTGAGGGTGTTCTGTGTGCTTTTTTGGTTTTTTTTGCAGTCTGGATTTGAGCCAATTGGATTGGTTGCCAATCTTTTTTATTTCTGAAAAGAGACTTTTTTTTATTCAATTTGTTGCCCTCAAGCTTGAGGTTTAAAAAAAACAACAACAACCATAACTATTCCCCTCAACACAACTACCCACTCCAAACAAAACAAGCACAAAACCATTTTGTACTTATCACCTCTCAAAGCAGGGAGTAATACAGGAATATCGTCCATTCACTTGGTAACTCCGGTTGTAGGAGACACTTATACATGGCTTCACTTCTAGCGGAACAGCTACTGACATGGCAGCACCAGTCTGTAGGTGGCCTCGAGCCTGAACGCTAGACTGTAAGGCAGCGGGGCAAGTCTGAAGTGGGTAAGATGCTGTATGGTTAGACGATAATATCTGCTGGCAGTTTTGCTGCTGTGATGTCTGATGGTGATACTGTAATGAAGACTGATGAGCTTGGAGATACTGTGGTACATGCTGGGGAGTATTAGCCTGCTGGGGAGCGGGAGCCTGAAATACAGTATGTTGGGCAGACTGAGCATGTTGTCCTTTCTGCTTGTTGGCTTCCTTCACATCGTTATCATGCGCACTAAAACAAATTGAGAAGACAGAATACATGAAAATAGGTATTAAAAGAGTTTTAACCCTTTTTGGGTTAACTTTTAAGAGCACGTTCAAAAAGGTGAAATTATCTGAAAGCTTCCAAAGCTTTTAAAAGAACAGAGAAAATAATTGTAGCTTACCCTTCAAAAGCACCTAGATTTTAAAATTTGTTTCTTTAGGATACAGTTGCTTTTCAGCATTTCACTTCACAGCATAGCAATACAAAATGCAGACAAAAGCCATGTGCAATACAAATAGTACAGCAGTATCTAAAATTACTAGTGCAATAAAGTCTACTAGTGGTACTGCAATAAAGTGTCAGATAACCAGAACCTGAAATTAAAACTTTTACCTTTCTGCTTCCACCTCATTTAAACTGGGTAACAGAGTATAGGGTTTTTATAGATCTACATTACAGTACTTAAAGATCATATGTATATTGATACTGGATTGTGTCTAAGAAGTGGAATTTCTTTTTTTTTTTCTTCCTCTCACCTTTTTGTAGTCCACCCAGTACTTAACACTTCAGCTCACCTAAACTCCCTTTGATTTACATCTGTCTTTAATGTATTTAGACATATTCTTTCTCTTGCTCTTACGCTGAGCTTAAGCAGGTGCCACCTACACACTTCAGTCAGGCCTAAAATGATTTAACGTTTTGGTACTGCCTATACAGGGCAGATCTCTTGAAGACAGTTGGGGTTCAACCCCTCACCAGTTCTTCCTAGAAGATTGCTAACATTTTATGGGGCACTGCAAAGATGGCTGAAAGGGTTTGCCCCCCACACAAGTGTTCCAGAGCAATACTGAAAACACTTCTGCAACAGCACTTGTATGCTTTAGGTACTATTCCTTTCATTGCACACATTAGTGAAGCCAAAAGAGGACATCTGGCTGAGAACATTACTCTTATAAGGAAGATGTGATTCTTCCAGATAAAGCTACTCTTGTGCTTCTGCAGAGCACAGCTGTGTCTAGATCTGGGCAAGAACAACCTTATCTAGGAGGAAAGCACTTATGGTGAGCATAGGTTTTGATCTTAAGGTTTAGAATAAAAAAACTGATTGTGCAACATCCCTTCCCAGGTAGGTTGCACCTGGCATTCATATCTCATGTCAGCTGTATCCATGGTAGTGCAAAAATGTATACAGCAAAAATAGCTACAACCTCCTGGTGATTTCCGCCCCCAGAAGTGGCCATTCAAACAGTCTGAAAGTTTCAACCACAACCCGTTTAGAGCATTCTTTGAACTTCCAAGGCACAGAGTCTTCCGAGTAAGTAGGAGCACCTATACCTTTGGTACTCCTCGCTTTCTCTTTTTGTTCTCCAAGTAGACTAGAAAGATTGAGAACAAGCTATTTAACAGATTCTCAAAACATGCCAGAAGATGTTCAGTGGAAACACAAGGCTGGGGACTGCTTATTGAAAGAACAGGAAAGAGGCTAGATCTGATAAGGTTCTCTTTTTTTGGAAAGAACAAAACAGTTATTACCTAACAATATGACCTAATACATAGGTATTTTTAAAATAGAAAAGTTGAAATTCGAAAGAAGTTTACCTTCATGCTAACAGCAATTAAGCATACCAACAGATGTGGAAATGAGCTTTAAAAAAAGGGCTGTTGTTAACTTACATTAATAGTCGTTCAATACAGGGCACCAGGAAATCCCAGGAGTATGCAGTAAGCTGATGCAGTCGAGTAGGCCATGTTGGTGAGAGGCGCAAGATAATCCTCGAAGAAGCTACACACGCGGTAGCAACCAAAGAAGGGGCATAATTTAAAAATGCATGATCTAGAAAGAAGAAATAAGAGAAAGATTTGTCTAAGTTGGATATTGTCTGTCGAGACAACAAAGGTGTCATTACCTGAAATACGTAACTCACCTTGCAGTGAGACTTCCAGAAAGTAATCAGCATATTTTGCCATATATAACTTAGTCTTCTCTAAGCAAACCATTGGCCAGCCATCATGAAGATCAGTCTCATGGACAGCAATGGAAAGATAATAGTCGATGAAATGAGCAGCAGTTGGGAGGCACAAATTCCACTGGAATGTTTCTAGCAACAACAACTCCATATGAAGCAAATTCTGTTTTGTTAGTACCAAATTCATGTTAGTCATACAACCCAAGCTGTTCAGCTGTTCAAGTTTAGGGACACTGTCTTCCTTTTCTTCAAATTTACCTTCAGAAGAACAGAAAGAGGAGAGGGTAAAATAAAGAAAGGTTAAGCATGAGCGAACTACAGAACAGATTATATCTGATGTCTGTGCTGGTCAGATTTCAATTCTACTATGTCAATCAAGCTTGAGACTTTCCTGCAGCTGCATAGCTCAAATGGAAGCTGTCATCAGAGATAAAAAGGGGCAATATATGTACCATAAGGGGCTAAATTTCAGCAGATAATGTCAAACACTGTGTAGGATATTGTGCAGAGCCATGTTTCCTGTGGTTTTCCCGCCCTGGCACAGAGAAGCTGGTTGCCAAGAGCAGAAACAAACTGTATTTAGGATATTGCTGGTACTGCATATGCAAGTTTTTGTCACTAAATTATTTTATAATATGCCCCATCATCAATGAAATACCACTGTGATGTGACTTGGCATAAATACCATCACAGCATCTGGCTTTATCACCCTCCTGCCTCCACACACCCTTTTTGTTTCTAAAACTCTTAATTAGAACATAGCTAGAGCTCTATCCAACGTGCCTGCTTTTAATGCCTGTTATGGTAGGTACAGTTTTTAAATTTAATAGCTGGTAAGCTGCTCCAGCAGTTCAAACAAGTGGATTTAAGCAACGTGCACCTGAAAACCCACACTGCCATATAAACTGTTTCAACCTTAACACTGCTAGCAGCTTCAGCTTTCCCTGGACTTTAACTTGTCAGGCCTGTATATTTTTAAGCCCGAAGCAAAACTGTGTATGTAGAAAACCCATTAATAAGAGAAACAAGTGTGACATTTCCATACAATTTGCCATATGGTTCTGCTATTTCAATTTCATTGCAAATTCTTTCCATCTTACACTCTCTATTCAGTACTACATGATATGTTGTAAATGCACATTTTTAGAGTTTTGCAAGTCTGAAGGCACTGAACATTTGCTTTTTTTCAACAGTGGAGGACTTAAGCCAACACCAGTCCCAGTCAGTTAGTTTTTGTTTCCCATACTCTAGTAATTACAGAAATAAAAGCTTCAGGAGTCACATAATAATTTCTCTTATTACTTCTGTAACCTTATCAGATCTATCACAGCATGATTTGTCCAACTTACCACACCACTGATTAAATTGCTTGCTTAAGCCACACAGGGCAAAAGTTTAAAATAGGATTCAGCTTTGTACTTTCTGAACCAATTCAAACACTGCTTCTCAGAAGAGCGAGTACTTCATGCTTTCAGAGCAATACTTGCAGCTTGTCATGAAAGATGGCAGAAGTGATTTTATTATTTTTAAAAAATAAATTCCCCTCGGAACATTTTAATTTGAAAATTTGGCATTAGTTCAAAGCCAATCCATTTTCCTCAATGGATTACACTGGTTTCTGAGGCAAGGTTTTCATACTCAGCACCTCATCCTTTGCCAAGAGGAGATTGCTGACTGGTGGCATCCAATCAGTTTACCCCCAGAAGTATCTGAAATAACCTTTGTCTCATTTAACTGTTCTGAATAGCTGTATTGGTGGAGACAGGGGATGTAATGAAAGGAAGAAGTATACCAAAAATAGCCAACACCTCAGCACTCCGGTTTTCTAGTGAAGAGGGCCTAGAGCGACAATATCATATATCTTATTTGAGAAAATGAAAATAGATTCAGAGAAACAGATCAGCAGAAACTGAACCAACCATTAGTTCTACTGCTGAGACCTGTCTGTCTGAATCTGTTGGCTTAAGAACAAGTGGCAGAAGGTACCCCATAGACAAACTACACCTGTTATTTCTTTGGGGACATCTAAAATGGGTCCACAAACATCAAAAGATGGATACAAACCACAAGAATCTAGCCAAGATCAATATCAGCAGCACTGGTCATAGTAAGTGTTTGTAATTAATTCTGTCTTCTTTGTGCATTCACCCATGTGGTCACCAGTATTATTACATTTTGCATGTAACAATACAGGATTTGCGTTAACCTTAGCTTGCTTAAAGAACGTTGCAACTTACAGTTGCAGCCTACAGATGGTTTGATTTCTTACTTTATCACAGGTATGCAAATTTATCATTTCCAGCACTGGATCTACCTATTTTGAGATGTCCTCAGAAAGACAGTCTTTCTATTCCTACAATACTCAAGTCCAAATAATTTGTTTCCAGGCACAAGAATTAGTTTTTAGTCACAGTTTGTTTTTTCTCCTCTCAGTTTCATCAGGTGTCAACAGAAGTCAAAACAAGAGTCTAAAGACTCTTGGGCCAAACCGATACACACTAATCTGCCTGTCTTTTATAACCACTTTGTTTCCCTTACCTGCTATATCCCATCAAGACATGCCTTGTATTTATTTGGCAGTAAAACCTAGATTGCTCTAAAGTTCGGTGCTACATACTTACTTGCTAAAAGTAAACAGGAAAGAGCAACCACATGCAGCTGCTGTATAGATATGTCATAACGATCCATAAAGAGGTCCAAGAGATACACTGCTAGATGTCGTGCAGCAGGACAGAGTCTGAATCGATTGCTCACAATAGCAATCAGATCTGCAAAGTATCTTCTCAGGTGTAACTGGGGAGACTGGCCTTTGTAGGAGGGCAGCTTCAGCTCCTAGATGGACAGCAGCATGTAATTTTATTAAAACCATCATTTAGTTTGAATTGATATCAGATTAACATAGTTGATAATCTCAGTAAGTTTGAGATGGAATCTTCAAATCATGGAATCCTCAAATTATTTCTCCCCTCTTCCTTCTGTTCCCATTATTTCAGTACCCCTTTTAACAGAACAAAATCTATTTGTTGTACTACAGAAGAACTAAGAAATAGTTTGGTTCTGCACAACATTAGTATAATAATTTAAAATGAAACACCCTGCAACTGGGCAGTTGGCTAGAGAGACTTTCACCGTTTCTGTTGTACTACCTCTACTACGAAGGCTCTACCTTTCGGCCGGGGAACAGCAACGGTATGCAAGTCCTCCTCAGCTCCTTCAATGCAAAGTCCAACAGCTTAACTCAACCCCCTTCTGCTATAGCTCAATCTGAGCAATCAGACTTTGTACTGAAGTGTTTGTGTATTCCAGTGCTGCCAGATCTCCTGCAGGTGCCTCCAGAAGAAGGGCACGAAGAGCTAGCTGAAGGTAGCAACCTTAGGAAGAAGAATGGTGTGTGCACGTGTCAACATTTGCTGCATGCATATGTTTAAACCCTGACTTAATCTGATCTGATTGATGTTGCACTGACACCGATTACAGTGGGCTCTCAGGCATTTAGTTACGTGTACATAAACCTCATACAGTCTCAGATTCGAGAACCCCAAAAACTAAAAGCCCTATCAGCACTACAGATGAGAAAAATCTGTGACATAATCCATTTTGAACACAAAATTTGGGCTGGTAGAAAGAACATTCCCAAGGTTCCTGCCTAGTAGCTCTTCTCATATATAGCAGAACAGCAGTGCAGTCTGTTGTCATGAATAAATTTATGAGTTAGATTGTACAACCTACTTACTGTGTGTAAGTAGGATTTTTGAGTACAATTAAATTTCCAGCAGGGCAGTCTGATGACATTAAGTTGGAACAGAGTTGCCCAAAATTTTAGAAGTTTTAATATAAATTCAAACTTCTAAAACGTGGCATTGAAGTGAAAAAAACCTCACACAAACAAACCTACAACAAACCACCCCTCACCCCCTCCCCCAGCATTAAAATTCATCTTTCACAACACTTAGTTTTGGTAATGGTAACTTGGGTAACAAATTATCCTGTCCTTCTCTTATGTTCCCCTTCCACTCTTAAAAAAAAAAACCAGAAAGAAAAAAGTTGCTTTATTAGTAACGCCTTCAAGAAAGATAATCCACTCATCAAGTACTATCAGGCGGCAGAAGCACATTTTTAATAGGTTCAATCACTGTAAATCGATTTTCAGCTCTGGGCATAAGAGGTACTTTGTTATGAAAGTAGCCCAAATTTTGAGTTAGTCAAAAGAGCATTGCTTAAACCCTGCACTATTCTTGCCGCACCTAGCGTGTGTTTGTTTGTTTGATATTTCGGTTTGTTTCAACAGCATCACGATGCCTTCTCAAGAGCTTAAATTTGGACCCACTTACACATCCAAACAGAAGAACCAAGCGCACCGTGACCCCTTTGCCTTTTTAAAGCGCGGGGAAAGAACAATCCGGTCGGGCAGATAAACTGTCAAGACCGAAGACAAACAGTTGCCTGAGCGTTAACTGGGAGGAAGACACCGTATTTTGCAAGGTTTGGAGACGCAAACTCCGCCAAGACCCCGGCGGG